GAGTGACAATTCATCTCTCCAGGATCCCACGAACCTGAATCAGGTAATGCACCGGCTTTGCAAACTGCCTCCAAAAGCAGCCACTCTTTACTTTAATGACCACAAGAGATACACAGAGCCACACAAAGCAACAAACACACATACATCTCTCTGCCTACTTTTCCTCACTCTTGAATTTTCCTTCAGATTTCGTGAGATCCTCTGTGGTGCCCAGGGACCTTCCCCTCCCGTCCCCCACCAGCAGACAGCTGCTCCTTCGAATGGCGGCTCCCACTGCCTCTGTGTCGCAAGACCCCTCCGCTGTGTCCGTGCATCACTTTATCTTTCCTGACCAAGCTGCTTCTGCTTCCAAAAATCCTTCCTGGCTTTGAAATCCAAACATTACCACCTGGCTGCTTTGTCTTGGTTCCTCCTGAGAGGAATACGCTGTCCTTATTTAAGATTCCTCATTTGCCTCTCCTAGCTCAGAGTAAGCTAGATGAAGACAGTCTGTAATGACTGACACGCTGGCACCTCTCGTGTCTCTTGTTAGCACATGACAGCCCCAGACACAAGGAGACTCACAGTTCATGGAAAGAAAAAGGAATTTATAACTTCTGTGAGGATTCAAGGAATCTGTCTGTGTACATACAGAATAAAATCACACAAGTGACAGAAACAAAAATTACCTCTTTGAGATGAGTGTGAAATACCTACACAGAACTTGCCTTACCATCATCTTCCTCTTCAGTCTCTTGCCATGTCCATGAGAGCTAAACAGGGAGAGAGTTAGCAAAGGATCTATTGGCTGGGCTTAGCCAACTTCATGTCCTTGTCTTAGAAGTGAATTTTAAATGGTATCACAGGTCCTTTCACTAAGATGGGCAATTCTGGTGGCTGGCCAATTGTTACTGCTGTCTCTAAAACAGCAGGTAAGGTCAGAGAAGCTGAAACTGTGGTGCTCCAGTCCGCAGGGTTTGTGACAGACCATCTTGTGGTGTTTTAACCAAATACCGATTTTCCTCTTTGTAGGGATTGCCTGGCCAAATGCTGACACTCATCATTCCTCTTCCTTTTTGAAACTCCAGCTTTTCCTCTTATCCCAGCTATAATAAAAATTGCTGTGTGCATAAAAAGCCACAATGGAATGGGAACAAGAAGCCTGACAGGAAGCACTTCAAGGTTTGAACCTAAAACCTTTTTTGATTCTAAAAAAAGCTGACTGCTACAGACAGATGACCTGACTGATGAGTTGGTCTGGTCCCTGCATGCAGTTGAAAGTAGAGATCCGCATACAGGAATAGGAGAATGTCCCCAAACTCCAAAATGAATCAAGGATCTTACCTCCCCATGCGATGGAAGCAATAAACAGTCCTTGGGAAAAACAGCACAACGCTTTCATGTTCTCTGAAGACCAAGGATAGAAGACTTTTAATAAAAAGAGCAACTAGGGGAGAACAAAGCTTGTATCTGACCATACTAAAAGACAAAGCTATCGAAAAAATGACTAAAAAAAATCACTGGCAAAGTAAACAGAATAGTCTATAGAAAACTAATCTGTTTTGTGAGGAAATCTTGGAAATTAACGTAGATTTGGGGATTAGGGAAACTGTACCTGGTACTAGATTACAGGAAAACAACTTGGTTTGGGGGAGTTAATGCAAACGAAGAGAAACAGTGACAACAAATGGAATCAAGGGCCAACTGTGAACCGTGAATATTTCAGTTACTGAATTTCTTCTTTTAGCTCAAAAGCTGATTCTTTGCCCTAGGACAGCACAGCAGAAATAATAACATCAATCCCTCAAATACATCTAGCTCAGGACACCACCTAAGCAAGTGGTGCTACACAGATAAAAGTGCCAATATCCTGCTGCTTTTGGATCCCCCCTTTCTGCTTATGAACAATTTTGGTATTCTGGTAACTTGAGACTGGATTAATTTGTATTACACATATATTTCTGTTCCTGTTGATTAATTAATTAACACACTAAAAAAAAAAAAAAAAAAAGACCCAAGGCATTGATCAGACCCAATTTGCTCTAATAATCTCTGAACTCTGCAATCAGATCACTGAATTCTAAACTACTTAAGTCTAATGGGCTGGGAGGTTTGAGACAACATCTTAAAGATAAAGCCCAAACACTCAGCACTTTGTAGGCAGTTGAATTTAAATTAAGGTGCAAATCAGCCCATGCCTTACTGTTCAGTCTAAACGTTGTTCACATTTGGAGTTAATAATTGCCACAGATTTTTGTATCATAGAAACACAACCATGCTGTTTAAGCTGAGAAAGAGAGAGAGACATTTATGTTTGGGCAGCAGGGACATTCTGAATTTTAAGGAACCCAAAGAGGAGTCCAGCACAGTGTTAGATCATATGATAAACTCATTCATTGTGTGTTTCTCCTAAACTAATCAGCAGAGAAATAATTCACATTGTGAATATTAACGTTGCCATCTGTAGGCGTGGAAGTTAATGACCTGTAGAAATTAATCAAGCCATTCACCTCTCTCTCAGATTTATTGTTTTAGGGGAATCAAGAAGACAGCTCTTCATTAACTGGGTTCACATTTTCATTTCATGTCCTCTAGAAACTAAAAAAAAAAAAAAAGTTTGGAGAAAAATGTTGTGTAAAGAGGTCAGTTGCAGGAATATATAAAAACAGTCTCCCAAAAGGTATAGTTAGATTAGGCAAATATAATAAAAAGAACAAA